GTAATGTCATTTGAGACACCACACCCATTGTATCTTCTCAATTCCAAAATACCCAGACTAACAAATCATTTCCACCTTATAACTATAGGTTTCTCTCAAGCAACCTAACAGCATCCTTCTCTATCTTGGATTACGAGCTGTCTTTTTCATAAAGTCTACGTTGCTCCAGGAATGAAGTCTTACACACTGCTAATGTCAGAAGATTTAGCGATGTTAACTGCAGTGATGAAAACAGAGATCCCATACTCTTACAAAAGTTATCGTTTTAATTGTGTCAGTGTCAGTGCTAGACTTTTTATTTTTGAGCATGAAAATCATGCCAGTTGTTCCAGTATGACATTGAAGGGTTTTGAAACTGCAATTCCAAGTAACTTCAAAATGGGAAAATTGGATGTATGTAATTTCTGCTATACTTTCTTACCTTAATTATATGATAATGATAATTTGTTATATGAAGAAGAATTTAAAGATCACCTGACTTTCCGCGATCATTGTAACCTAACACCATGCCCAAACAGAGTCACCTTTCTTTGTGCCTGATGAGTTCTTTGGCACTGGCCACCAGTTCTCTGAGAATGTTTGGACATGAAGACTTGCCAATTCACTGAACACATTTTATTTCACAAAGGATTTCAATTACACTGCTGAGAGAGCGCTATCATTCAATTATCACTAGAGTAGATAAAGCAGGCTGAATTCATCATATTTCACAATTAATTTTTTAGAGGCACCCCTGATGTCATAAAAGAAGTGAATCGATTGATCAAAACTGACAGTCAAGAAGAGCTTGATTTTTGTCAGAAAATGATTCTATTGAAGCAAAATTACAGCGGAAAGGCAATTGATTCATTCAGACAAATTAAGGGAGCTTATAGCTGGAATGTATTTGTTGATACAATTTCAAATTGTGAAAAATTTCCTCAATAATTTAGCTGTAAGTGCTTCGTACAATTCTCGAGGCCTATATGTCACTAGTTCTTGTGGAGCTCTAGATATCATTTTAAAACTGCCTCTAATCAATGAAGAAAATGATGATGGCAGTACTGCTCATATTTTTGGAGCAGATTTTGGAAACTTTACTTTGACTGCCTCGTTGTTAGAACCTTTCTTTTGGAAGATACCAGGGAACTTCAGGAAGAAATTGAAGAGAAAGGAATTCAAGCAGAGAACGGAATTCAAGCAGAGAAAGGAATTCAAGCAGAGGAAGGAATTCAAGCAGAGAAAGAAATTCAAGCAGAGGAAGGAATTCAAGCAAAGAAAAAAATTGAAGAAGAGGAAGAAATTGAAGAGGAAGAAATTGAAGAGGAAGAAATTGAAGAAGAGGATGAAATTCAAGCAGAGGGAGAAAAGGAAGAAATGTCAAGAAAAGGAAGAAATTCAAGAAGAGGTGGAAAAGAGGAAGGAAGTGAAGATTTTGTTCATGAGAAGGATGACGAAGAGGAAGATGAAGAGGATCATGAAGAGGAAAAGAAGAGCAAAAGGAGGAGAGTTAATCAGAAAGATATATAATACTTTAGACACACAACACTACTTAGTAATTGTAACGGTTCAAAAATTATTGCTTAATATTATATTAATAATAATGCAATAAATGCTTCCTTCTAGTTGCACTGCATCAGACTTTCACCTGTGCATGAAAGAATGTTTCATTAAAGGCTATACAAAAGACAAGTACTTCACCTCGCACATCACAACATTGAACAAGCTTGAGCCTGGAGGAGGAGCCAGAGGAGGGTTGCAATGGGCGGGGCAATTTTGTAGCCTAGCTAACAACGTAACAACACTACACATATCGATCCATATCAAATGCTGCAGTCTTTCTTGATGATAAATTCGTTGTACTAAGAGAGACAGAAAGAGATGATTAATTATACATAGTGTTTAAACACTTACTTGTTCTAATAGGACATTGTCATGCTCTCTTCATCATCTGTAAAGTACTGGTGACATTCTCCTACACAATGACTGATACATCAAATTACTGACCAAAAAGACTGACATCCCATTCTTTTTCCCTCTCTCCCCTTTAATGTACATACATGTACATGGACTGTAGTGTGCATTGTGTCCTGATACACAATGTAGCTATATGGTATGTACATTGCTTTGCTTGCTCAGGCTCGCCCCCTTAATATTATATTTGTCTAGTAAAAAATAATAAGTGTTCATGCATACATTAATGTACATGCATAATATGCAGACATTTTACACTTGCTTACTGACACCAAGCCTGTGTTAGCATCAGGAGGAGAGAAATACAAGAAGAGGGATGACAGGAGACACAGATCAATGGACACAAAATTGAGAACATACCTATTGGCAATAAATACATGTATTGGGAAGCTGCGTGTTATTAACCTCATATCATTACAACATGCCAGCTTTAAGGGGCGAGCAAAGTGATTAACATTTCAATTAGCAATATACAATGTCTATATAGACAAATATATAGTGGCTATTAAATGTTGAATGTTGATGTCAATACACTAATGCAGAATTTGCATTAAAAGAATTTCATAGCTTGTTCTAGCTTTAGTTAAGAATCTCTGCAGTTATATAGAAGATAGTTGGTCTCAGAAGGAGACTCCAGTTGTTGTTTCTGGACACGATAAGACCTATCTATGGCACTTCTATTGGACCTTATTGCTCCTTCTCTCCCATGCATGCTTGTTACGAAGAAGTGTACAGGTTTATGAGCACCTTCTTGTGAAATACTCATGTTTTAAGGTTCAGCTTTTCTTGTTTCTTGAATACTCTTCAACTCTTCTCTTCCAAGTAGTAAGTTGCTTTACTCATACTCATTGTCTTTGCACGTAGTACCGTAATCATCAAAATTATCATTTTAAAAGATTATTATTCTTATAAACGCATAAATAGGTGTGATGTACATGTACAAATAAACAAACATTCTCAACTCAATTATGTGGCGCTCATTGTTGCTTGCCCCAGTCAGTTATTTAAACTGTTTGCATAAGTATAGCATAATAAATGAAAAACAGCAATAATTCATAGTGGGCTGGTAATGACAAATATGGAATCTAATGGACCTTATGCACCGAACTGATTCTAATTTATGCGCACCCAAAGTGGTGGTAAAATGGCGGATTTTTGGAGGGAAAGACAGGCTAAACAATCTTCTCTTTTATCCATCCAGTGGGAGCCACTTTGAACTGTCCTTTTGTTTCAATATACTCTATTTATCTCTTTTGTAAGCTCGTTGGTTGCTGTTTTGGCTTTTATAGCCGTTGTCATAGGAATATTCTCAACCATTGGCCATTCCCGTTTTTCTAAATTTTGCTTTAAGGAGCCAGGGCGCTTGCCCCTCCATTGCTAGGAAGATAGAAGTGCATTCAGCTGAGTCGTATGACAAGTGTCTATCACCAGAGTTAGTCTCAGGACAAGGTACGGTGGAATAACACACTCAGTTGTTATTTTGAAGCTGGAGTGTGGATGATTATGACTATTTTTTCACTTCTTAAAACTATGGGACTGGTATTTTTTCACATGTAAGAAGAATTCCAAGGATCACAAGTGTGCTAGAATAGCTCAGCATCATGTAACTAGCTATTAATAGTAACATAAAGTATGAAGTAAAACACTTTCATCGTTACATGATTTTTATGTTTTTATTCATGTTTAAAATTGATGTTAATAACAATAATTATTTTTGTTATTGTCGAGATGGTTTCAAATTATTGTGTATATACTGTTAGTATCATAAAGTATGTGTAAATACATAAATAGTCGTCTATACAAATGCAATGTAGTGACCTAGTGATAACAACAATAATAGTTTTAGCAACAACACCCATTTTGTTTTTTATAATTCAAAATACTAAATAAAACTGTTGGGAGAGGATACAAATGGTGAAGAGGATCCTGAATGTGATGATTCCTTTCTGCAAGTACTGAATAGCGACTGACAGATTTTAATATGGCATGAGGTACTCATACAGTACAATCAGTGAATGTACAGATAAAGAATAAGTTCTTGCATGCCTCAACTATCTAAAAAAAGAGCCAACCTATAGTTTTAAGAAGTGAAAAGATGGTCATAATCATCCACACTCCTGCTGCAAAATAACAACTGAGTGAGTTTTTGCACTGTACCTTGTCCTGATGGACTGAGACTAACTCTGATGATAGACACTAGTCATAGGACTCAGCTGAATGCACTTCTATCTTCCTAGCAATGGAGGGGCAAGCACCCTGGCTCCTGAAAGCAAAATTTAGAAAAAAGGGAATGGCCAATGGTTGAGAATATTCCTATGACAAAATGCTATAAAAGCCAAAACAGCAACCAACGAGCTTACATAAGAGATAAATAGAGTATACTGAAACAAAAGGACAACTCAAAGTGGCTCCCACAGATAGAATGGATGGATAAAAGAGAAGATTGTTTAGCCTGTCTTTCCCTCCAAAAATCCTCCATTTTACGACCACTTTGAGGGCTCGTTAATTAGAATCATTTCGGTGCATAAGGTGCATTGCAAAGGCCTAAAAGTTATCACGAACGAAATACAGGCAACAACATTAAAAGTTGAAAACAAAAAGTTATGACTTACTATAGAATGAAAGACAGTCCTCAAAGCAGCCTCCTCCTGGATGCTTCACAACACACCAGTGAGTTACACAGACTCTATAGCTGGAACAGTGGCTTGGACTGGACTCCCAATGATGGTCCTCCAAGCAACCTCATATCTTGACTTTATGCCTCACTACACAAAAGTGAGTCTACAGCTGGAACAGTGGCTTGGACTGCACCTTCAATGACGGTCCTAAAAGCAGCCTCCATTCTGGATGCTTCACTACACACCGGTGAGTTATAGAGTGTTGAAGGAACAGTGGCTTGGACTCAACACCAATGGACTGGATCCTAGGGCCTGATTACTCTCACTGCTTCATTTGCGCATGCGCAGGCTAATGAAGGTTGCGGATGAGCAGTAGCTCAGAAATTGCGCATGCGCAATTGTCCATAACAGTATCACTGACTCTCCTGTCAATTTTAATAACACCCCTGGTCCCCATTAGGTCAAGGAGCAGCAGCTGCATCTTTCCTCCTGTATTTTGTTAAGCAGTAAGTTTAAAAGATACGTAGCTTTGTGGTTAATTATCTAATGATAGAACAAGTCACGGAGTCAGCTTTTGTAGACTGAACCTTAGCGCTGTTATCAGTGAATTCATGCGCGATTGCCTATCTACACCTCTGGTCCTCTAAGGTCAAGGCAGCAGCTTTCCTCCAGTATTTTGCTAAGCAGTAAGTTTAAAAGATATGTAGCTTTGTGGTTAATTATCTAATGATAGAACAAGTCACGGAGTCGTCTTTTGTAGCTACTCACTCATCGCCGTAATCAGGGAATTCATTTTCTGTGGTATGTTACTCCTTGAGTCATTTATGCCCTTCATACACAAGGCAACTTTTTGCTAGCAACATTTGTGATTATTTTAACCTAAACAATATGTTGCCAAAACATGAGGATGTTGTATTCTTGGCAACATGTTGCGTGGTGGCTCACAACAAGTTGCCGCATCTTTTTTTACTTATTTGGGTGGGTGGCAGTGAAGGATATGGTCGCGATCCATGCAGGGTAGTGTTGGTTTTATTTAACTATAACTCGAATACCTGTTTCTTTTGTTGGCTGGAATCAAGTAAGTTGCTTTTGAGGTGGGCATCCACTATGCAACTTTATTGCCAGTACCTTTGATGTGGTT